TTTCCCTTGGTGCCATCTGAAAACTCCTCTGACCTTAAGATTCTTCTGTTCTAAGCCATGTAGAGATGGTTTCTGTCTTGAAACAGTCCAGGAAACACTCCCAGGAGTGTTACTTCTCCACAACATCCTGCCCTCAACTGCTTTGCTTGAATGTGAGGACTGGCAAAACACAGACTGCACCACATCTCCTGTCCACAGGGAAAAATAACCAAAGGCCACTTTGAGGCCCCCAGAGACACAAACTGCAGCCTTGTACCAGTGAGAAACAGTTCCAGGTTTCCCCGGGATCCACACCATGTCTGCAGACCTGACAAGCCTGCTAAAATCTGAGTTTAGATCAGGGACTTCTTAGGTACCAAAAATGCTGTTCTCAGCTGTTTTGAAGACTTTAATAGCTCCTTCTGAATCTGGTGGGACATGGAAAAGTGGAAGTAACTTTTTCCATGGCAAAGGAAAAATTATTTTATAGTTCAAAAAATAATACCTTTTTTTTAAAAAAAAAGAAGGCAAAAAGAGAAAGACTGCTTAATAAATCATCCTCAACATTAATAAAACATTCTTATTTTTCAGTTATGCCTGTGTGCTGCAGCAGGTCCTGAGCACAGGCCAGTGCTCAAGAGACCTGGATCACTTGGAGAGGAGAAACCACCCTATGAAGATGCCTGCAAGGCCCTGGTGAGGAAGATCTGCAGGATGTGAGATGGCCCAGTGAAAGGAAGGGTGGTACAGAGCCATGATGGCAGCCTGGACAGAGCTGCCCACTGCCAAGGGAAGGAAGCATAGGAGGTGTGCAGGCAGGCTGGTAAGATGGGCTGCATCAGCACCCCAGATGGAAAGATACCTGAAAACACCCTGACACATCTTCTCCTGGAGCATTTTGCAACACAACCATGATCTATCACACTGTAAGCCAGACAATATATTATTATGGTTTACTGTATTTATTAATATTCTTGACTGGAAACAGAGAAGGAGAGAGAAGGGACAAGGTCATCTATTAAAACAAATAATTTCACAGGCAGTGCCATAAATAAGAAGCCTGGCTGCAGCTTTCATATATCACCTTTGACTGACAGTGCCAGGACAGTGAGTTCCTACCAAGGATTCCTCTGCTCCCACCACAGCCATTATGGTTCAGGTCCCTCAGCTCAGATGCTGATTCTTTGCTGTCTAATTAGGAGGAAGGACAAGACTCAGTCATTGCTCAGGGAGGGCTTTTGGTAGGGTTTCCCTTTTCATACCCATCTGTTTATTTTCACAAACTTGCAGGTACTTAATTATCCCTGAGATTTCTATTGCACTGTCAAATTTGGCTTAAATTAGCAACAGGTTCAAAAGCTATGATGGGGTGTAGGGCACTGCAGCTCACCAGCTGACAGGCACTGGCAGCCTGATCAGGTATGACTTGTTTTCATAAGCAATAGAGCAGAAAAATAGCCACAAAAGAAACTCCAATCAATGCCATGCCCACAGAGAAATCAGCAAGATGGGGTGGTTGGAGGGAGCGAGAGAATTGAGGAGAAAATAATAGGCTGAAGTTTGTCTTCCTTTACCAGGACCCAAGATGTAGGGAGACTCCAGAACCAGGGACCAGACAGCTGAGGTTGTTGTGAAAGAGAACCTGGCCAGTCTGCATGAGCAAGGGTGTAGAATCACAGAGCCACTTTGGTTGTAAAAGAACTTCAAGAACATTAACTCCAATCCTAAACCAAACACTTCCAAGGCCATCACTAAACCATGTCCCTGAACACCACATCTATGTCTTGTAGGTACCTCCAGTGATGGGGACTCCCCCACTGCCCTGGGCAGCCTGTGCCAGGGCCTGATACCCCTTTGGAGGAAGAATTTGTTCCCCAATATCCAAACCAAACCTCCCCTGGGCGAATTGGGCTGTTTCTTCTTGTCGTATCACTCATTACTAGAAGCAAAGGTGCCCAAGCAAGGGTTCAGAAGCAAAGAAGAACGAGCAAACATGGGTGAACAAGGGTGCATAAGTGCATGAGCAAAGGTGCAAGGGTGTATGAAGAGATGTGCATGAACAAGAGTGTGTCAGCAGAGGTGCTGCCAGTGGGGGGAGCAGGGGGTGTGCCAGCCAAGCCAGAGAAGTGCTAAGCAGGTCTGCAGGGTGTTGCCAGCCAAGCCAGGGTGCCACCTGCTCTGCTGGGGTGCTGCTCACTGTGTTGGGATAATTTCAGCTGTGCCAGGGCACCACCAGCTGTTTGAGGGTACTTCCAGCTGTGCCAAGGGTGGGTGCCCTGGTGACAGCGGGTATAAGGAAGACAGAGGTGCTGAATGTCTTCTTTGCCTCTGTCTTTACTGCTGCAGACTCTCCCCAGGAGCCCCAGATCCCTAAAGCCCCAGAAGAAGTCAGGATGAAGGAGGAGTTTGCTTTGGTAGATGAGGATTGGGTGAGGGATCAGGTGAGTAACCTGGACATCCATACATCGATGGATCCAGATGGAAAACACCCGTGGGTGCTGAGGGAGCTGGTGGAGTCATTGCTGGGCCACTCTCCATCATCTTTGGTAAGTCATGGGTAACAGGAGAGATGCCTGAGGACTGGAGTTCAGCACAGAGCCACAAAGATGCTGAAGGGAGTGGAACATCTCCCTGCTGAGGAAAGGCTGAGGGAGCTGGGTCTGTTAGGCTTGGAGAAGAGGAGACTGAGGGGTGACCTCATCTATGGTCACAAATCTCTTCAGGGCAGTGTCAGGAGGCCAGAGCCAGGCTTTGTGCAGTGATGCCCAGTGACAGGACAAGGGGCAGTGGGTGCAAACTGGAGCACAGGAGGTTCCATGTGAACATCAGAAAAACCTTCTTTCCTGTGAGAGTGACAGAGCCCTGGGACAGGCTGCCCAGAGAGGCTGTGGAGTCTCCTTCTCTGGAGACATTCAAACCCCCCTGGCCACGTTCCTGTGTGATGTGCTCTGGGTGCCCCTGCTCTGGCAGGGGGGTTGGGCTGGATGGTCTCTCCAGGTCCCTTCTAACCTCTAAGATTCTGTGATTCTGTGAATGGTGCCACCAGCTGTGTCAGCCTCCCTCTCCCAGCAGGTGCTGCTGTGGCTCAGGCTGCCTTGGAGGGGCTCAGCCCTGCCTGGTGAGACAGCAGCACATCTCCTGCAGCACCAGCTACAGAGCCTGGTGCAAATAAAGGTCAATTCTGTTCTTGCTTGTGCAGAATAATAAGTTAGCTAAACCCTGTATTTGAAACAACAAACATTAACTTGTTTATGCAGAGAGTGGCTTAAAAAAACCAAGTTAATACTCTTAGCAGTGAAATCTGTTTCCTGAAGCAGAGGGTTATCAGTTGGAAAACAAAGGCCTTAGTAACACTGAAGTAGCACATACTGGAAAAAAAACACTATTACCCTTTGAAACAGGCAGAGGCAGATGGACAACAGGGTTACTGATGATACATGTCCACTCCTGGCTCTCAAATAAAATGGTCTGGGACAAATGTCACTGACTCACCAGAAGGTCAGAGGGCAGGAGGTATCACTGTATTCTT